ATACTTAAATGATAATTAAATGATACTTATCTGTCTCCTTTTTAGTTTTATTTAGTGTATAGGTTTCGTTACTATAAGGTACACTTATATAAATACATGTTTATACTACTGAATATTAATTAATTGAAAAGCTAAGATTTGAATTTGTAGATTATGTCATTTTTGTTCGTAGAAGGGAATTGCAACAGATTGTTTTGTATATATTTTTAAACTTTTATTTCTTATAAAGGAACTTACATTACTTACATTTTGACCCGCAACAGATACCATAGATTATGTAACAAATAACTCTATTCTTAATAATTGAATGTTGCCCTTTTTTAACAATTTTAAAACTCGAACAAAAAACTAATAAATTCCTTTCTGTATGAAATAAACAACGTATGTTAAATACTCATTAACTCTCACGTGTGATATCAACATTAAATAATTTTGATCGAAAAATCTATTTACATATTCAAAATATTCCTAATGTAAGAATCACACGCAAGGTTTGTGTAGAGCCTTAAACTCATAAATCACTTTCACATCGAATATATTTGATAGACTATTAAAATGTTGACGACAGATTCTAATTTAATATACTTAAGAGCATTATTATGGTACTCTTTTGCCATGTTCAATAATAATCGAATGAAAATGGAATTAAGATGTGATTTTTAAAATTTAAGGTCGTAATAACACGGAATGTATTAGAAAAAGAACTTACAATGAAAAGTGTACTAAATAGATGTAGTTGTGACCCGTGGATTAAAAACCTCGTTATTTTACTTCTTTTTAATTTTTTTTTAACAATTTATCTCAAAAAACATCTTTTCCTCTTCACGTCGTTCATCTTGACTGCCATCTAGTTAATAAAATGTCAAACATCGAAAATAAAATTAGTATTTTTTTTTTATAACATAAGGTGGCAAACGAGCAAGCGGCCACCTGAATCCGCCAAAATGGTGAAGCGACGGCTGCCCATAGACATCCGCAATTGCAGACGCTTGACCCTTATCCAACGGAGGAGGAGACGCACATAAAGAGGATATTTCCCCTTCCTATGCATCTCCTCCATCGTCAAATTCACTTCCCCTTCCCATCCTCTCTTTATTAGAAAAGGGTGGTATAGAGAAAGGGACTTAAATTAGGCCTCCGGCACCACACTCATCAGACGAAACACGGAATTGCTTCCATTTCACGCCTGTCTTCTGTGTGGTCGTGGTATTACACCGGGCGTGCCGGCCCTGCAGTGCTAAGATGTTAAAGCGGGCACTACCACTGTTAAAATAATAATAATAAATAAAATAAATAACCTCCTTAACATTCTTAGATTACTAAAACCGATAAGCGTTTTATTTTTAAGACTATTGAGATTTATAATATTAAAGTAAATAATATACCTTTACAAACGTATTTCCAGTATCTAAATGTCAACGTTCTTTAGTATGGGAACTTTACACAATATGGACGTAGACGTCTTTATAAATATTCTACACCCTGCCTTGAGTCAGGACTGTTTGCGTATAAAATTGTAGTCTAGTTTTAGCCTAGACAATACCTAGGTATTGTATGTAAGGGGCACAGTTTTCTTTTGTCGCGTTTTGCATACTTCATTAAATCTTAGAAATGTTTTCAATTTATCCTTTTGTTATTTAACTGAAATCTACCTATTCTTTATAACTGTGTATATATTTTGTAATAAATTGTGTTGTAAGACGAATTCACTGCAGACACAAGAAAAGAAAAAAATCTAAACTGACATATTTTCGTTACAACGGTCACTATTTTAAAATTACTATATGTCGCTTCAAAAATTTATTGTATGTATACACAATAAAGACTGTCAAACTTTATAAAACAAAAGCTTTTCTAATAAAAAATTCAATACAAAATAATCATACTAATATTATAAATGCGAAAGTTTAGATGGATGGATGTTTGTTAGAGTTTGTAGCCTAAACGGCTGAACGGATTTCTATTAAATTTAGTGTGGATTTAGAGGAAATTCTGGAAGAACACATAGGGTACTTACTTTTGTTTTTGTTAATTCCACACGGACGGAGTCGCGGGAGAAAGCTAGTTGAATCTAAAAGAGTAACTTCTCCAACACTAAATTAGTACGTCGTCCGAACTAATTGGTAACTGTTTTAATTAAGTCGATTTGTAGCTTTCCAAATCGGTTTCAGATATTAAATGTAATCCAATCCAAACTATTAGACAGTTTCGTAATTGAACCCTCTGTTAACTGTCTGTCACAGTTAAGTTATTGTTAACTATTACGTGGTGACCTTGTTAACAAGCTGACAATATTAACATACACAATGCCGAATAGTAGACACTAGAGCGTCGGTGGCTCAGTGGTTTAAGCACTTGACTTGTAATCTACACGTCTTGTGTTCGAATCCCGCCAAGTACCAATGTGATTTTCGATTTTTCGAATTTTCATATGTACATAATTTACCCGACGTTCTTACGGTGAAGGAAAACATCGTGATGCCTGCCATATCGGCAAGGAAATTCAAAGATATGTGTGAAGTCAACCAACCCGCACTTGGCCAGCGTGGTTGACTATGGCCTAGTCACCCTTTACTTAGGATAGGCTCCACCTCGGTGGGGACGTATAGTGAGCTGGTGATCGAAGACACTAGCTGTTGTATAGCCTATGTGTTCTTACAAACTATCCTCTACATCTATGCTACATTTCATCGTAGTCCGTTCAGCAGTTATGGTTACAGACTCAATTAAATCTTTCTTCTAAAATAACCTACGTTTATGAACGGTAGTTATGTTCCTTTTATATGAATTTTATAATGCTATATAGGAATAATCCTAATAAAATATTCAAAAAACTTTGTGGGTAGTTCGCACTATGTTTGTATTTTAGTCGATTTAATATTGTACCTAAATTAGGCATTTGCCTAGGTCACATGAACCTACGAGTCACTAAACTGCTAAACATATCCGAACGTCTCGTTTTATCCGAAGACGTCTGTAAATGATGACTTATTTAGCAAAACTCGACTCACATTCTGTTGTCATAGTAGTGCGAACACTTATATCATAGCTACGAAATTACTCAATACTTAAGTAAATTACTAGCATAGTGAAAACTTGGTATTAGTGATGTTTGCAATAAATATAGGAAATAAAACCTGGGGGTAAATTCATTACTAAAATGTTACAGTGGCTTACGTGCCGGCTTCCTAAATCAACAGTTTACGAGTTTCCCACTGGGAGAATTCGGCTTGGGGCTTTTTAGTCCATATCATAAGATGAAGCGATTTCGTCCTTAAGATAAAAGAAACTTAATACTATCTCGAATATATCGCTATCTCTTATAACCTACACCCCTAAATGAATGTTCAATTACAGAGAAACGGCTGTAGTACATTACATAATCGACCCGCACTTATCTACTTGTGTGTACAGCCCTAAGAAATTACCTACGCTCCTTAGGGATTTCAGCTTAGGTACTAAACATAATTCTGCAACTTTAATATTTATTTCGCCTCATACATATTTAAAATTTGCTTTTCGTCTGATTATTAATTGGTTCATAACTTACTAAAACTGCAAAAGGAGGGTTTCCTTTATTCTTTAGATTCCAATCTTATCTTACTAATATTATAAATATAAAAGTTGGGATGGATGTTTGTTAGAGTTTGTAGCCCCAACTAAAATTTGGCCCACATATAGGCTATTTGTTTTGTATTTATTTCATTCGGAGTTGCGGGCGAAAGCTAGTATATTACGCAGTTCAAAACAAACTCATTAACATTTTAATTTCGGAATATCTCATTCGTATTTTTCATGCCACTATGATTATTTGTTAATATCACAGTTAAAATATTCGCTACAAGTATTTTCTAGTATGGCAACAGTTTTACTGGCATCAAAACCGTTTTACTTTATGGAAATAAAATGTTTTAACGAACGTTTTAAAGCTTCACTTATTCAGTATGAAAGCAGCATTCGTTACTGCGTGTTTCTCCCCTCCACCCATCCTTTTCGCGATTCACCTATTTTTTCTCATTGCAAACCTCGTAACATGTTTTAAATCCAATTACATTAAAAAGGTAAAAGTTTTTAGAAGTAAAACAAACCTTAGTAGGAAGTAAAAAAATAACAAACCGTTTAGAGAATCCGTATTCCGTATCTAGAGAATGCTTGGCGCCTTTTTAAATTATACAATAGTAACGATCATGCAAACTTGCTATCAATTTTTATCAGGCACACTTCATTAACCACTACTTGAACCAAAAACTTATGTAAAACCCTATTTAGTACAAAGAAGTAGGCCAAATCTTGCCATTTACGTGGTAAAAGGCGGTAGGTAATGAGGCGGAAAAATAAGCTGCCGTTCCAAAGTTCTTGCAACTAACATTTGTGATGATTGGGCCTTATCGGTTAATGCCAAATAATTGCGGTCATCTTAAGGTTATAAAATAAAGCTATCCAATACCTTAGAAAAAAGTCATAACTATTTTATTTTCGGAAACATTTTCAAGAAAATGCCTCATTAGTTCAACACAAAATACACAATAATATTTATCTATGTCAATCTTTTCTATACGACAGATGTCTGGTTCACTTAACTACTCCATCTATATTTCAAAGAAGTAATCGATTTTTCTAATATTGTACATTCTCGCTCCAAGGCTTATGTTGACGACATAACTGATTCTTTACAGAAAATATTATATTTTACTTATATTCAATCATAATACACTTAAAAAATAATGTTAGAAGCGCATTTATATTTTTATAAGCTGCTCGGGAATAAAATCAAAAAACAAAATGGCGGAAAAAGTACAATCAGCTGACCATGTTATGGTAATGACCCAGATCTATTTAGCTTGGAATGACAATTATGTTTATTGTTTTTATCATATTGCATCAATTAAAACTAAGATTAATACTAAATACAGTGTAAATTAGTTCTTTATTTCTAAGACTAAATAATGTATTTTAGTAGCCAATATTTTAAAAAATTAGTTACAAACTTTACCACAAAGTTAGATGGCGTCGCGAGCGCATTAAACCGGGTGCAGCGGACCGTAATTCTAAAAGTGGACACACTGAACTTATCCACTAATTAGCGTTAGACTAAATATTAGACAGTGAGAGTGAAATAGAAAACATAGGATTATACAAGTGCGAGTGAAAAGGAACTTCGGCAAGCTTCCAAAATGAATTTGATGTTTCGCAAGAACTTCAGCGGTGAGAAGGCGAGTAGTGGCGGAGGTGGGGGCGGGGGTAAAGCGCGGGGGGCGCTGGGGGCAGGCAGGAACGCGAAGCGGCGCGAGCGCAGCGATAGGTTCTGTATGGAGGAGCATCACTATAGGACTCATCTGTTCTTCTCCGCGCCGAGGACAAGCGCGCAATATACTGATTCAGGTAACTACGTGATGTTTGTGAATAACACGACAGTTGTGGCAAGAAACAACTAGATACAATAAAATGCAGTTGTGTATAACAAAGATAATATAGAAAAGAATGTATTGTGCACTGTTTTGTTGTTTGTAACAAATAGATTATCTCTTTCGCTGGCAATTTTATATAACGTCTATGAATTTTGCAATTATTCCCCCAAAGTGATTTGATGGCTATGTTTTTGTTTTTGGGATCACAATTACTGGAATTGTCTATAAAATAAGCGTTGATGTTGCCATTAGACGACCTGCTCGCAAATTTCCACATAAAATGAAAAAAATAATTCTGTTTTAAAAAAATAGTTTTTATATATGACGTCAAACACTTATCTTTAAAGTCAAGTGTGAAACTATTAATATCTCTTCCAGACGGATGTTTTAACTGGCGTGTCTATAAATTAACTCAAAACCACACAAATACATCACACTTATTTGAACAAATCCTTGATGACTTTTTCTTTGTACAATTTGGAATATTAATCGAAGTAGCCGATGTTTTGTTCTAGGTTATCGAGAATCTATTGGATCAGGATGGCAAGGTACACTAAAGAGTTTTAGTACCCAAAGTAAGTGGGTGATTGTCTAAAGGTTTTGATAAATAACACCCAGTACAAGTTTACAAAACAACGCTACTGGATTCAAATTTTAATCATTCTATTTCATACGAGCTCTAAAAGTATAAAAACCCATTTATGAGGTTCTATTTCGCATAATTTGGAACATGCTCTATTTCTTTTTATTTGACAAAAAAAGTTTTAATATCTACATCCCTATTTCTCTGTTCTCTTGTTTAAAACTCTTGTTTACGTCGTATTAACCTTGTGGTAACATCTACAGTTAATTTACACGAAATAACTTTGCTAATAGCCATGTATAAAATGTGCGTGCTAAGAAACAACACGCCACATACATTTTATCGCTCTACGAAACAAAATACTATGAATACGATCTTGAACCCTATATGAATGATCATAGCTGTATTTTAACCTTGAGACAACTCAGTCTTGAGATGGTAATTTATAAATTGCGTACAGAAAACAACTTATAAAATAAATAACCACAAATATGTCGGCAAATTGGATAGATACATGGATACTGTTTATCAAAAAGTTGCCGTCGACTATAATCCGTATTCTGTGTGAATTATTAAACAGTGAATAAACAAAACTTGTTTGTTTTCATGTGAGTTTATTATTGTAATGTTTATTAGTGATTGTCTTAATTACCCGTGGAGAAGAGGACACCCTAGGAGCATGACATACCTTTTCTTCATCTGATGACAATAATGAAATTTCATGGGACACCACTGCCAGTAACAAATGTCGTATATTTAAATGTCTTACCGGAAAATCAATCACTTCCCTTAAGCTCTGTAATTGTTATATCCTCGAATTGTCTTAATGGGGCATAACCGAATGTGTCTTAGCTTCACACACACGATAGTTCCAACGTCGCCTAATCAGTGTTCTACGTGTCAACTGCGAGTTTCTTCTAAGTCAGTTGTGTTTCTGTTACAGAGCGATGTGGTCCAGTGCTGGGCGGGGGCTCGGGGCCAGATACGGAGCCCCCGCAGCCGCTGGTGACGCGGGAGCCGGGGGTATCGTTGCTACGCTGGGAGCGACCCACGTCGGAGCACCGCCGCGCGGCGCCCGTCTCACTCGCCACGCTAGAGAAAGACTGCTTCGTTATACCAGCACACGCTCTTGACAGATTCCTGCCTGACGGTGTACCGGTATGTACCTTTATTTGAGAGAATATATTCTACATGCTTAAAAGAACAGGACCATAAAATCTTCATTAGCTCATATCTATTACAAAACCTGCAGATCTCACGTCACGAGGAACGCACCTTCTTGACTCTACATTCTAAGCATGACATCTTTAAAGAATTTAAATACTAGCTTTTGTCCGCGACTCCGTCCGCGTGGAATTAAAAAAACAAAAGTGAGTAGCCTATGTATTCTTCCAGATTATCTTTTACATCTGTACTAAATTTCATCGAAATCCGTTCAGCAGTTTACGCTGCAAACTCTAACAAACATCCATCCATCTAAATTTTCGCATTTATAATATTAGTATGATTGTATATTAATGTTAAATTATATTTTTCAGCTGCCAGTCCCTCCCCCTACACCGGAGAAGGGCATAACAACAAAAACAACACAAAATTCCCTCAGCATCTTAGAAATAGCGGACCCGAAGTTATGCATATTAGCACATTTGATGAGTCCCTTGGAACCTATAGAACCTATTTTAGAATCTCCACTAGCTAAACCTTTAATTAAACAGAAAATGGCCGCGGGAGAGTTACTCAGTGATATTGCTCAAGCGAATACCGCCGTCGGAGGAATGCTACTAGCCAATATGGAGAAGAATTCAGAGTTCCCTTTCATATCTTATTACGTTATAAACACAACACAAACGGATCCATTGTTATTTTATAATAACCTAAGAGGTGCATCATTGAGTAAATTCGACCCGAAGACGATCAGATACTCAGCTGCGCATACGTTAGATTTGTACAGCGAAGTTGCGATGATCTGTCGACCGCCTTTCAACGATTTAGCCGGTGGTCCAAAGAAGTCACACACACCAACAACCGGCTTTATTATTAGCGTGTACAAGGTGAGAAATAAACAGCTGTATTTCGTTTAATTATTCACAGGTGAACGGAACAATGCGACATTTAAATCAAATGCGATATTTAAACTAAATAAATACTTAAGCCCTTTTCCAATTCTGGCTGATAGAGACTCAGATAAAAATGACGTCACTGATAAGGTAACAATATCCGATATTTCCATCGCATGTTTTACATATTGGATTGCTATCAGACAATTTACAATTTGGTAAGACAGACCCTGAAGGTAGAATAACATCAGTAGGGACAGGTCTGAGAGATAGATGGATTGCTTTAGATGACTAAGTACCAGTGATTACCGGTATAACGATTGATACATCTAATTGAAGGATAACAACATAATGCATCTGCTCATAGATACACATTTGAGTAGGTTAAGGAGAGGAAGATGTCTCATCATCACCAGTTCTCTTCGTGCCCAACTAATGGGCTCGGAGTCTACCCTAAGTTAGGAGTGACTCGGCCATAGTCAAACACACTGGCCTACTCCGTGTTGGTTGACTTCACATATATCCTTGAATTTCTTCGCCGTAATGTGCCGGCATCACGATGTTTTCGTTCACTGTAAGAACGTCGGGTAAATTTTGTACATACTAGCTTTCGCGCTCGACTCCATACGCTTGGCATTTAAAAAAAAACAAAAGTGACTAGCCTATGTTTTCTTCCAGACTATCATTTACATTTGTACTGAATTCCATTGAAATCCGTTCAGCCGTTTAGGCTACAAACTCTAATAAATATCCATTCATCTAAACGCACTTTATAATATTATTAAGAAGTAAGATGTAATTCGAAAATCGAATATTAAGATGTGAGACGGTATAATGATGTTTTTACGTTTCAGGTGTTCGAAGGCGACGACGGTGAACGATTCGAAAGGAACTGGTTGTATTGGACTGGGGCGAGGATGTTGTATAGACATTTACCTCACACTGTCGGCATGAGGAAGATCGCATTGCACAAGTCTGTTGCAGCGCACGGCGATAAAATGTACTTGTTGGTCTGCGAGTGTGCCAACTTGTTGGACGATTTGTCGGGCGCGGCGATGATAGTGACGGCGCTACGAGCTCGCTTGTGCGGCTACACCGGGCTCTACAAACCCATACAAACTTTCTAGCAGAGGGCTCAAGGCCACGGCCTTGATTAGTCCCTTTAAAGTCCTTTATAGTCCCTTTCTCTTAACACCCTTTTCATATGTAAGGAAATCTAAGGAAAGGATGGGAAGGGATTTGACGGCGGAGACGCTTAGGAAGGGAAAATATCCTCTTAATGTGCGTCTCCTCCGTCCATTAGGGTAGGCGACGCATCTGCAATTGCGGATGCGGGCAGCGGTCGCTCCGCCATTTTGGCGGATTCAGGTGGTCGCTTGCTCGTTTGTCAAAAAAAAAGTTAACTTTTCCGGATTTCTAAAATCCCCAACAGATGGAGTTGTTTTCTTATACACGTTTGAAGTAATGCAATAATTTATTATGTAAGTTCTATTAAACACTATTCGAGAATTTTTAAATTAAATTAGATAATTAGCTGTGGATTTGCTTATAAAACGAACATTGCCGATTATTGCCAATCGAATAATAGTTAAGTCGTAATGCGAATGTTGCTTTGTTAATGTTTTTAAGGTAACTTTATAAGATTACTGGTGTTTGGACCAACAACGCTTTACCACTTGGTCAACATCAGCACAAGTTGTGAGAAATGGACCAAAGAACTAATTATAGAATAATACGATTGTCCACAAAGGTCGTGCTAAAAATATCCTTTTAGGTAAATAAAAATGTATTATAACATTGTCTTGAAGTTTTATCTCTCAAATATTTCTGCATACACTGATGTGCCAAAACGCGCATTGTAGAAAAAAAAGCGCCAAATTGGTTGCGAAACAATCGACAATCACATGACAGTTGTGCGATTGTTTAGTACAAGGTGTAAAGAAAACTTGTTATCAATATCGTTTTGATTTTATATTTTCTACATTTTTTAACAGGAATTAAAAAATCTTTAATTGTTTAAAAATTACACGAAAAAACATTTTGACATTCCAAGGTCATAGGCCTTGCCAACATGACAGCATGACGTTCTCCGTTCGGATATTTTTAGCATGCCCCATATAGCGTGATTTATTATCGAAGCGCGTTGTGTTCGTAATTAACAGAATATTAAATGATAATAATAACAACTTTTATAATTAATAAGCTTGTAGTAATTTTACAATTATAATTAAGTACAAAAACATTCACAGATTTGCTGAAATTTTAAACTTCTTAGTAGTACCATTATAAAATTTTGCTTAGCATATTCTGTGATTGTAATATTTTTGCATTTTTTAATTCACAAATCAATTTAAAGATAACGATTTTAACATGGTTTCATTTATACTGTGTCTACATATCCATAAAACATATCAGTATAATGCTTGAAATACAAAAATACATTTTTAACTGTGACAAAAATTCATGATTTTTAAAAATTAACGGCTACATGTAAACATACTCGTAAAACAATTCATTGAAAATCCTCGAAACGGTGAATTCAGAAACAATAATAAATATAATTTAATTGCAGAAGTAATGTTTTTATTTATTATAATGAATAAAACTTAATTATTAACAGCTTTATATTTATTAGATAGTTTTATTCGCGCACATGCGTAAATGCTTGCTTATAAAGCACATAATTACTATACAAAATATATGAAATTTTGTACTAAAAGTCACATTTTTAAACATTGTAATCGTTAAATCAATTCGAACCCTTTCAAATCTTATTTAAAACTACTTATTTAAACAACTTATAAAAGATGTACAAAAATGCATTAGAACCAAGGAATACTATTATGAAATTAAAGTCCTTTCCCGCCAAATTGTAAATTGTCTGATAATAATCGGATTTTGTTACCTTATCTAACAGTGACATGATTTTTAAGCTATCTGAGTCTCTATCAGTCAGTGGCAGGACAGGCCCTAAATGGATCAAACATTGCAAAGCAAAGAGATAAATTATACCATTCTGTACTATCGATTATGTTTTCCTTAAACTACCCGCTCTTATTCATTCCTTTGTAATTTTATTAAATTTTCAAATATATTGCACATAGCAACATTTTTAGATTCTTAATCAATAACCAATTGTAATAGCACTGCCTTACTAATTTATTTTAAAATGAATTTGATCAAATTGTGTATATAATTGTAGGAAATTAGTATGAAATAAGCTAGTTTGGCATTGGTTAGCTTTGGAAGCTATTATTAATTATGGCCTAAGCTCCACATAGACAAAGTTTTTAATTTATTTTTATAATAAAAAAATTAAATTGACACTGTCTTTTATTTACCTCACTAGTTTTCGCCCGCGGCTCAGACCGCGTGGAATTAAAAAACGAAAGTAAGTAGCCTGTGTTCTTCCAGAGTCAAATTTCAATTAAGTCTGTTCAGCCTTTTAGGCTACAAACTCTAACAAACATCCATTCAATCCTTCGCATTTATAATATAGTAAGAGTAAGATTATACAAAACTAACTTATGAATGTATGGAAGTCAAGGAAGAAAGATATAAACAATATAGAAGCTCAAGGGCTCAGAAAGATACTTATTCCTGAGCAATTTAAGTAGTATTTTCACTGGTGTGGTGGAATTCTCATACAGTTGACATTTGACAAGAGCAAAATCAACACAAGGAATAACACTACTTCAGATTCTACCTTACACTCTCTACAAAATAAAACTTTGAATAAAACTACTAAATACTAATAAATTATTTATTCAACTCTTTCATCACATTACAAAACTAAGTGAAGAAAATTATTTACAATATCTACTTTTAATTTATATCTATTATGCAGCGGAAGACAGAAGAATGGATGGATAGGTGTAAAGAGAGAATTCAGTTATGATCAGAGGAGTAGAAAGAAAGCATACAAAGTGAATACTTCTGACTGTCAAGCATGGTATAAGAGTAACCACTGGCCAATACTGCGAAAAACTGGTTTACAACTGATTACCAACACACAGCTGGTTACCAACCGGTATATAACTTTGTCTCTGTATTATTTTATCCTCTGTATAGTTCAACAGGTGATAGAAATGTATTGAAGAGCAGCACATACTGCATAGACATGTATGGACAAGGGTAGGTGGATTTACTTATAATAATCAATATCCTTTGAGCCCTCTAAATCTTCTTCGGTTATCAAGCTGAAAGAGACATGAAATGTACATTTAAATCTACAAAATATGTATTTCAAAATGTTTAAGGAATTTGATTTATAAGATATATTTAATTACATCTCCATTATCTTTAAAGCATGTATTATTTTAATAAAAATAATAATAAAATCAACAAGACATAAAGATTTAATGATAATGAATGTCTTACGACTGATCTCTTGCATTCGAAAAATATCTGCCGTAGTTGATGACATTCGTCTGATATTTGTCCTTCCTTTAAGCATTGTCTTGGGGTCTTTTTATCCTAAAAACATGAAAATTATAAGATTTCTTTAGGTATTTTGTAAATTCTGATCATGTAATAAAACTAACCACTTTACAACAATCACTATTTAGTAAACACATCTTAAGATCAGCTCTTATAGAAGCACAAGCACTATTATCTGCTAATTGTACTTCTTCAGGTCCAAACACAACCATTTTATATTTCTTTCAATATCGAATCAGGTAAAGGGTTACCGGTTACAGATTGTCAATGTTTTATTATTTACACTTAAAAGCACTTTTGGTTATATTATGATAAGCAAGTGCTCCGTTCACAATTTTTGTTGACAATGAATGAATGAAAAATGACAACTAATTGACAGTAGACTGACAATAAGATTTAAAATCGAATAAAGATATTTCAATTTCTAACGTTAACTTCCGAAAACTTAAAAATTAATATCAGTTAAAGAGCTTTATATCTAATAATTTGTTCGTCTTGTTTCTTTGTAATTACGTTGGACAACTAAAGAAAAAAAAAAGCAATTTATAAGTTTTAGAACGTTAAATAGTTTATTGTTGGTCTTTCTCAAATCCGTCAAAACAAAGATTTGCAGATTCGCTGATAGTGATGGGACTCGAGTGATTTTTTCACTCCAGTCACTCGGTACTGGTAACTTTCACACTCGAATGACACTCGAGTGAAGATAAGACTCGAATGATTTTTATTGACTTGAGTCATTCGGAATTTAAAACTGAATATTTACTTACTACTAAGTATTGAGTTTTATATTCCGACTCTGAGTCTAGTCACTCTACACTCGAGTTGTCAAAAATTTCCCTCGAGTCCGAGTAATATAAAAGTTACTCGAGTCCATCACTAGCTGATGCGCTGTTTGAGACTCAGCTGTTATCGTTATCACAGGTCTGTTTACCAGACTATCTTTGTATTATTTCTAAGTGATTTAAGAATAAAGTGAAACATGATAAAAGTATTACCTATAATTTCAAGAAAATTATCTCACGTCTGCAGCTTAAAGCCATATAAAGATACAAAATGGTTAATGCCGAATGGGAATCCAATTGGTGTATATGTTTACAATTGTGTTGCCGATCAAAAGGTTCCGGTAATTCTAAATGACCCTAATATCGCTACGTGGTACTCTTGTGGACCCACTGTTTACGATTCAGCTCATATAGGCCACGGGTGCTGCTATGTAAAACTAGATATAATACAAAGAATTATGAAATCTTTTTTCAATATAAAATTAGTCACTGCTATGGGTATTACCGATATAGACGACAAAATTATTAAAAAAGCCAAAGAAACCAACACAGATTTTAGAGTAATAGCTAAGAACTATGAACACGAATTCTGGCTCGATTTAACTAGCTTGAATGTTGAAAAACCAATGATTATTACTAGAGTATCAGAATATATTCCAACAATACAGAGTTTTGTTAAAAATCTCATAGATTCTGAAATGGCTTACATAGTTACTGACGGTTCAGTATATTTTGATACAAGTAAATTCCCTTCCTATGGAAAATTACAAAATATGCAAGACAATGGTGAACCAACAAATAGTGAAAAAAAGAACAAAATGGATTTCGCTCTTTGGAAAGGTTTTAAACCGGATGAACCTTTTTGGGAGACTTCTTGGGGTAAAGGAAGGCCTGGATGGCATATAGAGTGTTCAGCTATGGTCAGTAAAGTATTTGGGTGTCAAATAGATTTCCATGCTGGTGGCATTGACCTACAGTTCCCACATCACGAGAATGAGGAAGCCCAGTCTTGTGCCTTCCACAATACTCGGCAGTGGGCCAACTACTGGATACATGTTGGACATTTAAGCTTAAAAGATGTGAAAATGTCCAAATCTTTACAAAATACTCTATCAATACCCGATTTTCTTAAAATATACACAGCTGATATATTCCGAATGGCATGTCTTATGTCAAATTACAGATATCCAATGGAGTACACAGATGAAGTAATGAAAACAGCTGAAAGTGTATTGAAAAAATTCAAATTTTTCCTAAACGATGTTCTATCATACGTAAATAAGTCAGACACAGGACATGGTGATTACGATAAGAAACTTTTAAATGAACTTCAAAAGGTCGAGAATAACAATTTGGAAGCTTTAAAGAATGATTTTGATACAGCAGGATGCATAAATTCTTTACTAAACTTAGTATCGGTTACTAACAAAATAATTAAAGCTGATACAAGAGATCACTATCCCCTACCTGTGATATTGATTGCTCAATACGTAACAAATATCTTGAAAACCTTTGGTGTAAAATTACAAGATAGTGCAGACAATGATTTATCAAATATATTAATAGATACATTAGTTGATTTTAGACATACAATCAGACAAAATGCTTTGCAGCGGAAGGATAAGGAATTGTTAACTGCATGTGATATTGTAAGAGATAAAATGAAGACTTTGAAAGTTCAAATAAACGACAACAATAAGACATCATGGGTGTTTACTAAATAAATCTTTATTAAGAAAAATGTTCTAGTTATTAAAAAAATATACTACTTCTATAAGAGTACAAATGATCCTCCAGGTTAATCTGTCTTCCGTCTTCTGTTGTCACTCTCTTCTTGTCTTCCTTCACGCAATATATCCATCTCTTCTAGGTCTACTTCTACAGGTGACAGGACAAAGATAAACAACCATTTTGCAAAGGGTATTATTATTTCTTTCTATTTGGTGCAATATTCGTTATTGAACTAAGACCCACTTTTCATTGATAAATGTTCGGTAGTGTTAATCTACTGTTAATGGATAATACATCATTATATTTGAAAATTGTGTTTAGGGCATTTTTAATTGATTTTTATGAGTCATTTGACTGCATTTAGGACTAAAGTTGGGTTTAGGTTTTTTAAAATATAGATATTAAATAAAAGCACAGTATCTGTCAATGACATTTATTCACATATCTTCGTTACATTCGTGTTTGGTGACTAGATTGTTGTTTTGCAAACAACAAACACATTTTTTCTGTCAATGTACATTTTAGGAGCCATCCATTAACTAAGCTAAGAAAACTTCAAGTTAAGTAAAAAATTACTATTTTTTTAGGTTTTGGGCAAAAAGGGTTAGTTACCTCTTATGTCAAGCTTTATTATAGTCAGGTCTACATACTTTTTAGTTTAATTAAGACTTGTGTATCATGTATAGACATCCTTTCACATTTTTTAAATCTATAGACAATAATAAGTTTTGTTACATGTTGGTAATTCTTAATAATGGCTAGTTTTATGTAAGATATAGTAAAATCAAGCACTTAAAATGTATTATTATGTTTCATAACACTTATATCAGATAGGAATAGTTTAAACAGAAAAAAAATGGCTTAGTTCATCTCAGTCTTATCCAACACATTACCACTTTCAATGCAACACAAAGCGGAATATCTTATTTTAAGGATTTTGTTCGAAAAGTTAATAAACAGCGCATTTACACATTAAGTACAATTGACATGATTCAAATCAGATCGATAATATAAATGCATTTCACTTTAACTCCGAATATTAAAAAAAAATACATTCTTGAAATATAAATCAACTTTTGAGGTTATTTCTACCAGGGATGTGACATCCCCTACCAAAAAAAAAGAAAAACATACAGACAAATTGAGTACCTCCGTCTTTTCGGTAGTTATTTTAAATAAATCGTTTCTAAAAAATCACCACTTTAAGAAAATAAATTTACCGTCAAACAATTATTAAAATTAATTAACTGAAAATAAACTGAATTTACAATTAGTATTATTATAAGTTCAAGGGCCTGTCCCATCAAATTGTAAATTATCTGATAATCCAACGTGTAAAATATCTTATGGAAATATCGGATTTTATTAACTTATCTGACAGTGACGTTTTTAGGCTATCTGAGTCTCTATCAGCCAGTAGTGGGACAGGTCTTAAGTCTAGTGAAATGCAAAAAAAAATGGGTCACAGGAAAACTATTCAATTTGTTGCTAAAACCGGGCCATTTTTGTCGTGTATTATATTTTCAGCTCTATACACTTTACAACATACAGCGTAATCTCTAAATAGTTTGAACAATGTGTAATAATCTATGAAAAGTAGGAAAATTATTGCCATAAAGTTGTGCCATGCTATGGAATTAAAAAGTAAATAAAATTGAATAACAACCAAACCTAATTGAAGACTTACCAGCATGCACAGAAACGATGCCGGGTTTATGAATAGGTCCTGAAATAAAACGTTAATTATTAAATAAAAACTGCTACTTGTAACTCCGTCTGCGCGGAATTAAAAAACTAAAAGTAAACTTCCAGACTAGCTTTCGCCCGCGACTCCGTCCGCGTGGAATTAAAAAAAAACTCGAAAAATTTTACATCTATACCAAATTCTGTTTGCTTGTTATATCAAAAGAAAAATTCCAGATTTCGGGAATATAATGTATTTGTGTTACTATCGCATCGCATTTAAAAAAATCTGTTTGTCTGTCCCCAAGCCGCGTTTGTTCCGGGTAATTTCCGAAACAGCTGGACCGATTTCGACCGACTTTCACTGAAGAGTAGCTGACATAGACGGGCATAATATAGACTACTTTTTTTTAATTCCGCGCTTTCTCTGGAACATGTGTACCGATTTGGACGGGACTATAAAGATAGCTGGTAGAAGGTAGATGCACGAGGGAATGTGTTAGATGACTTTTTTTTTAATCCGCGCTAACGAAGTTTGCGCTCGTTAAGTTATAAATAAAATATAAGGTGTACTGACATAGAACCTGGCGTGGTGGTTGTCATCGGGGTTGGCGGCGACTAGCGGCGCGTCCGCCACGAACTCCGCGCCCCCCGCCCCCACCACCCGCACGCGCGCGCCCCGCGCCCAGCGCCGCGCACCGCACCACGCCTCGCTCTCAGACCCTACGGACCACCACTTCATTTACCCACATATAACCCCGTAACCAATTAAAAAAAACTTTAAATGAAGCCTATAACTTCTTCAAGACTTCGTTTTATATCTATGAGAAATACCAACAAGATCCCTTAAGTCGTTGTTAAAATACGTGGTAACAAACATTTGTCCGCGATTATGATTGAACGGAATAAAACAACTTTACAAATAGACTACAGACTATACATTTTTGAGAAATTTCATGGACATCCAATAAGCCGTTTTAGAGATACTAAAACACCTATGAATCTAAACATTCGCATTTATAAGATTTTCTAGACAAACACATAAATATATTAACTCACTAAAAAAAAACTTTTCTAAGAGACTGAATCACTGATTAGTTACACTGAATTCAATAGATATCGATTATAAAATCGATATGACATCGATGTCTGACCGTGTGCGGGGGCGGGCGCGGGCGCGGGCTGCCAGCGGCCGAGGTGCAGCGCGGCGCGGTGCGACACGTCGCAGTGCGCGGCGCTGAACAGCTGCGCGCTGTAGCGGCCGCACAGCGCGCACAGCACTAGCCCCACCTGCTGGCTCGCCGCGTAGATGTCGTAGTACAGGAACGACTACAATACCAACACTGCTAGAACCGCCATTTTTATATATAAATCAATCTATTCTATTATAATAAAGCGTAAACACACACTTCTTTGTTGCCTAAGAAGTCAGCAATTACAGCACATTTTTGAATAATTCTTTTCTTAATAAAAAGCCTTACACTTACGTCACGCTTTAGACTATATATTTTCATGCCATTAAACTGAGGTAAATATTTTGGATAAAAACCCTAATGTGGGAAAGTGACCATAAGTTGTTGCCAACATCAAGGAAGCAAGGTTGCCATGGTTTGACATCATGTCATGTCATTTTGACATTTGCAATTGATAATTTGACAAATGTAAACAACAAATATTTGTTAGTACTAGCTGTTCCCGTGCGATTTCATCAGCATAAAATTATTTTATTGTTAACATGTGTCAAAATGTCAGTTGCAAATGTCAATACGACGTGACATGATAAAATTTGGCAATCTTACTTCCCTGATGTTGGCAGCAACTAATGGTCTCTTTCCCACATTAGGGTTTTTTATCCAAATTACCCCCTAAGTTTATGGCGTGAAAATAAGCCTAAAGCGTGACATAAGTGTAGGGCTTTTTATTAAAAAAAATAATTAATCAAAAATATGCTGTTTTTGCTGACATCTTAGGCAACAAAGAAGTGTGTGTTTACGCTTTATTATAATAGTATAGAAGTATAGATAATTAATCTTTACTTCATAAAGAATTCAAAACTCACCTGCGCGAAACAACAAGGTATAAAACTAGTGTAATACGCTTCTATTAGTGAATTAAACAGTATTCTGATTAATCTCATATTGAAGTCTGCAGTCATAGTGTCAGCCTCATCCCGAGCATGCTGCGGCTCATGAGAACAAGAGTGCAGCGGAGGATTCCCACTCACTAACTCCAAGAATGGACTTGACTCAAAACCAAACAATATGAAGTACAACACCACTCTAGAAATAAAACAGTAACATATAGAATTAAGTCTAGAAGATTCTATAGTGGTAACACAAAGATTAGAGTGACACATGACAGTAGAATGGACGAACTTGAATGCGACTGGCGTAAATATTATACAAGTTGAATTTCTAACACCACGGATGTCAAAATTAGCAACTTTTCTGCAGAAAAAACTGCATAATTTTGTAAACATACTATAATTTACTTAATTATAGTTAATTTAATGTAGAATATGTGTTTTTGATAAGCCGATATTATTTGAGTTCGATTAACTAGCGATTTTTTTTATATTATAAGGTGGCAAACAAGCAAGTGGCCACCTGAATCCGCTGTAAATGGCGAAGCAACCACTGCCCAATTTCCTCTCCCTATCCACGTACCCTTTGCATCCTATTCTTATGAGAGAAAAAGGGTGGGAAGGAAAAGGACTAAAGTTGGGCCTCCGGCACCACACTCATCATACGAAATTGATTTGATTTACCCAGAATTGCTCCCACTTCACGCCTGTCTTGTGGGGTCTTAGTATTTCAGTGGCGCGCCGATCGATTCGTGCGAAGATGTTAGCGCGGGCTTTACCATTGTTAGCGGCAATGGCATCAAAATGATAAAATAGTCAAAGAGAATGTGGTATTAGAACTACAACAACGAAATGCCAGTTGCTATGACCGTACAAGATAAGATGTGTCAGTGTTAATAAAATTAAATATTTACTTGCATGTCAAACTAGAATATGCCAGTAGGAGTGCCTACTCTCATGTGTATTCCCACCTTTATAACTTACGGATAGAAATCGAAATAATGATGGCCAAACTATAAATAAAAAAAAGAAGAAAAACTTACGGATAAAATAGATAAACAGTCACCAGGAATACATATTTATGTGCAATGAAATATATACACCATGCCAGGGATCCTAAAATGACGCCCAGTATAAATGTTCTGTAAAAAAAAATAGTGTTCATTAATTAATAAGTACTAAAAATTGTCTACTAAATAGTTCAATAAGTTCAATAAAGATTTGAAGACTGGTGGGAAAAAAAGACGACCTTGTGAAGTTAAGTTCAACTAGTTAAATAAAATAGTCAATTACCTTTCTAAATGATTAACTATGATCAACCAATCATGGATGATCAACTGTGAACAACTGATCACGTTTGATCAACTGTGGTCAACCATTTAAGGTTGGTCAACAGTGCTAAACTAATCATGGTTGATCAACTGTGCTCAACCGATCATGGTTGATCAACTGTCCTCAAGTAATCTTGGTTAACAAACTGTGAACAACCAATCACAGTTGATCAACTACTTCGTTGAATTAATAACTATCCCTATTCTCTAGTAACAATGACCTAAAGACTAAAGAGTCACTGTATGTTAACCCGGTACCACTTACTCTAGAAGATATTCAGCCAGGTAAAATGGACAAATACAGAAACATTTAAACATGTATCAGTGTCTTAAATAACAATTAAACAATTAAATTGTTAACATCTGATTATAAGTGGCGTTTACTTTGTGAAGTGTTTCAAAAAGGGAGTGATGACTGAGATGATATATGATAGAGTCATGTGGAGGACAAAAACCTGTTGCGCCGACACTACGGGAGTAGGATAAGGAGATGATGATGATGACTTTGTGAAGTGTTTAAAATTTTCGGAATTTGGGTGTAAGTCTAGAATGTTTGTATTATTTAACTTACCTCGCAGCGATTGTAGCATGAGGCATTAACTTAGCATCAATGAATTGTCTCAACACAGCCAATGTTATACTTAAGAGTAACCTTCGACTTAAAATCGTGACTATAAATGCCACCAAGTGCGGATCTATCAAATAAAAGTTCTGAAACAACATACAAGTGAAACAATGTAATGTATCTGAGCTTTGAGAAACAAATATTAGCATTTTTACAAGGGCTTGTCTCATGATGGCCTCACATATGTGGGGTCAATATACAAGTTTTCACTTCTTTTGTAACAATACCAGCCTGTCTGCAACTTGAGTGCTACCCTACAGCTAAATGCTTTTTTTAATTGCATTGTACAAGACAATGTTTTGCATTTCGACCAACTTTTTCATATTTAATATGTTTGGTTTATACAATTTATTGTAAAATTAGAATCCTATGTATCTAGTTTTTCAAGAATAAGCATAACAAAGTAATAACTTACCATTGCCTGATTATTATAAGATTGTGGTAACCACCAAGCTGTCCTGTACAAGTTAAGAAACTGTAATCCTGTTGCCACAAGCGTAAAGACAAAATTCATAATCTCAAACAGAAGTTCACTATCTTGAGGAATATATGGGAATGGTATATGTTTTGGTTGAAGTATACCATCCGACATCTTAGTATCTGTTCCGAGAGAACCTGATGGTGGTCCAGTTGGTGATATTCGAGGGGTACGTGACATTTTTTTTCCACCACCGTTCACATCTTCTTCAAGTAAAGGTACTGTCCCCTAGAAAATACAATAAAACAATAATGGAAATCAGTAGCATAATTCGACGTCAGTAACTCCTTTGAAAGAAGTAACTACCTTTAAACTTTAATTTATAAAATGATTTAATCCTACCTTTTTTGCAACACCAGTGGCTTTCTTTGCCCCCGGAGGAGCCATTTTACATGCAATCGGCGGCAAAGGCCGCTTTACAAGGGGATCTTTGATAATTTTTCGTCGTCTAGAAACTGCTGTGGACGATGTGTTGCTAACTTGCGAATTAGCCCAGCGCCTAGCCAATAAAATGGTCAGACAGCCCACAAGCGCTGGTAGGAAGAATACCACAAAAGGTCCACTTTCATTTTCGGTACAACTCATCACTCACATGATAAAATGTCACAATATTTTATTTTGACTCTCACACACGACGCGTCCGTCAAAATTACTTGTGCATAAATCACAAATTCCGATGAAATCTCGATACATACACGACACAAATCAGTGACAGTGACATTAGAAAAATATCGAGCGATTGATACGCGTTTCAAAATCGACTAGTGCTAAATATCGATTTTGCTATAAATGTATTCACAGAAAAATACTAAATGTTAGTAACAAGCTCTAATTTACAATTAGAATAATCAACACACGTCACACCTTAGTTTTTTTATAAATGTTTGCATTAAAAATAATAATTATTGAAGTGTCTTCCTCAAAACAGCTAGAAATCGCCAATCGGCAAATCGCAATCGCAAAACAGGCTGGCTACAATTATTTCATCTGTGATGATAAGACTTGACAGTTGATAGATTTCGGAAAATGGTTCGTTATCAACACAAATATCGATTAAAAATTCGCACTTGACATTTAGATTAACACCGGTTAATGTTTAGCAAAAATGTATAATGAATTTATAACATAAACATTGATACTATAAAAATGTCATTCACAATACTTTGTTCATTTGTACTTGCTTTTTATGTAGTGATATGGTTTTTTGATTCTTTCTTCAAGGTATGGACATAATCAAAAGTACTGTATATTATGTTTTAAAAAACAATTTTCGCAATATTTATTTATTTGTTTGCAGAGTTGTATGCACTATCCTTATTACGCATTCTTGGACGGAACCGGCTTGAAAGTCGGCATATTAAACTTTTCGTGGACAACTGCTGCCTTCAATCGCTTTTTGTACAGGTGGAGTAAGAACTTATCTAGGATACTTCGGAAATGGTTTACATGTGGATATGTTTTCACAGTGTGGCTGTTCCTCCCGTTTGCTCTGTGGACACTACTAACTTTCATACTTGAACACTTTTATGATCCAATAGACATTGGCAGTATGCCAGAGATCAGAGGAGCTTTACCTGGAGTAAACATACCAATCTCGGACTTCTGGGTATACTTCCTAGCTATGGGAATGAGCAGTATATTCCATGAGCTAGGTCATGCATTAGCTGCATCTCAAGAAGACGTACAATTAATTGGTGTAGGTATTTATGTGTTTGCTATAATACCTGTAGCATTTGTTCAGTTAAATTCTGAACATTTGAATAGTCTTGCAATTACCAAGAGATTGAAAATTTACTGCGCCGGTGTTTGGCATAATGTGGTCTTAGCATTTGTTGCTATGTTACTTTTCTTTTCCGCACCTATTATATTTAGTATAGCGTATGAGACTGACGTTGGAGTTAAAGTTACAGCAATGTCTGATGGATCACCGTTAAAAGAAGTAAGAGGTTTTAATGTAGGGGATGTAGTTACAAGTATTAATGGATGTAATATTAAGAATGCAAAAGATTGGATCCATTGTCTCCATGACGCACATGATAGATACGGTATATGTACTAGTGCTGAATTTGTTGCTCAAAACGATGAGATAATGATGGAGACGGTGAAGGAAAATGATGTAGTTGAATGTTGTAGGAAAGATGATTTATACAGTTTATGTTTTGAGTATATGGAACCGAAAGTTGTGATCGATTCAGTATTACCAGGACAATATTCTTGTTTAAAACCAAGGGATATGGTGAAGAATAGATTGATTAAATGCACTGATCACGGTGGTTACAGTTGCCCACACGGTATGCATTGTCTGAAGCCATCTTTGAATAATTCTTTCTTGATTATTATTGAAAGGAAAGATGATCATCCTGTTTTATATTTAGGTGTACCTTATGATTTGCATGAGACGGTAACCGTAGACCAGTACTTTCCACGTTTATCTATATTTTCATTTTTCTCTCCATCTCAAGTAGAAAAGCTCTTAAGGTATGTGTTTATATTTTCAATGGGCATAGGATTTTTGAACGTAGTCCCTTGCTATGGTACAGATGGGCATCATATAACTAGAAGTATTATACAAATTATTGCGAAATATTTGAATAGAAATGGTGATTTCGTAACATTTTTCACAGTTTTCTCTGTAGTTGTGGGAACAGGTGTGACTGTACCGATTGCATTATATGTTTTCTACAAAGAAGTTTATATGTATAACTAGTTTATGCCAAAATGCACCATAAGTTAAAATATGTCAAGCCTGCTATACACCTTCAGTTTTAGAACATTTGAATTTTATAGTTTAAACTGGAGATGTGTAGCAGGCTTTATTTACGTAGTTTTGATACTGCTAATCATTTTGTAAATATGTAGGCAATATTGTTTTTATTTAATAAAAAAATAGTTATAAACCGCTTTTATAAATAAATAATTAGATTACACAAATAATTTACCTAAATGTTGAGGTTTATATTAAGTAATGTTTGTGACATTATAAACTTTTGTTAAACTGTGATTTTGTTAAAATAAAGCTACTTGAGTATGAAAAACAATATTCTTATTGTCTTTTTTAATGCATTTATTCAATGCACTACATTTTTAGACTTAGAAGTGTGTTAAAAGTAATTATATGCATAGTTCACACTTTACTAGTACAGTTAGTCCATCAACTGGCCCAGTGTAAACAATGGCGCCAGAGTACATACAATCTAAGACTGGATACAACTGTTCTGGCCAAGTGTAAACCAGATATCTGTTGTATGGTAACATATCAAAATGTAGCAATAGAATAATTCAGTTTTATATAAAGGCTTCCAATAATAGTATAAAATAAGACAAAAATATAGTTAAAAATACCTAGTGGTACACCTATTTATGGTTTTGTAATTTTAATAAAATACATTCTTCATTTAATCTATTTATTTCACAAACCTAGTTACTAAATTAGTTAAAAATATAAATTTCAATAAATCAATCAAGTTTTACAACTTGTGTCATAAAAGTATACAACCTTATAAAAAAATGCAGTATAAAGATATACTAAGTATAAGCAAAATTTTTACTAATATTTGCTTATACTCAGTTTAACTTTATATCTCGTTTCTTTGTAAGGCTGTTAGATTTAAGGCATTATTTACACTCCCCAATTTAACATCTGTTACAATTAAAAACTGTCAGCTTTCACTTAATGCCAATGACCTTTCTAAGTCTTTCAATGATTTTCTTCCATAGTATAACATACTTTTGATAGTAGATTCATCTGTATGGTGTTTATTATTTCTGAAGTCACTCCTTGCCCAGGCTTTTAGTTCCGAACGCGTACTTTCATCTGATATTTTTCTTAACGTTCTAAATATATCTCTATATAATTTTAACACTTCTTGTCGCAGTAAAAACTGAAAGAAATAAAAGCAAATTTTAATACGTAATATTTCTTTTTAGTTGTGTATTTTGGAAACGTAAGCGTCGCTTAATAAGCGACGTTACCTGTTTTAAATTAAGAGTCGTCTTTGGAAGTTTGGATGTCATTTTCGTGGCAATACAAATGGTTTTTTGAAACTGCCTTTTAATTCAACATTTTTCGTTTCGTTTGCAGTAGTATTTTTCTGTATTTATTTGTATTCTGAAAACGTCAAAGTGACATTTGTCGACAGCAGGGTGCACAATCTCAGTACATTTAACTTGGAAATCCGAAGATAAAATACTGCAATATAACGGAGCACCTTAAATCTATTTTGATAATAAGAAACAGACTAATATTGTTTTTAGTAGTATTATATTTGTTATATATGCCAACGCGGCATTATAGATGGCTGTTTTACCAATAAAAAATTACTAGTTCAATTAATATACGATAGATGCCGCTATTTAGTAGCTCTTCTTGTAGTGTTTTTTTTAGTGTATTTGTTGAATGAAACCTTTTTTCAACTCTGATTTAATTCTTTTTAATTGTCACTTGTAATTCGATGTCAGTTCAATAAGTAAAATGTCTATTACATTTATTTATCGTTAAAGTACTCTGTATTATCGTTTAATTGAAAATACTCAACAGTATTTAGGTAGGTGCAGTCCTGGTTGTAAAGAAAGAGGAGGTATGTCTGTTTCTATGTCTACTTTAGAACATTACAGACTTTAATATAACACTGTCTCTATCCAGCAGTAAGACGTCTCCTCTCGTATAATGAGAATTTATAGCTATAGTCCACATCTATGGCCTAGTGCCTCTGTACATTGCCGGACTACTTAAGTATTTGTTTGTAGTGCCTTTAACATGTATTTGGTTCTTTCACAACCATATTTACAGCAGTAAAGCAAAAGTAGTAAATTGTTACACTAATCTCTCTTAGACTTTTTTTGTACATTAAAGCATGCTTTTAATGAGTGCAATAATACTAAATAAGATGTAACCAGTAAGAAGGTGGGAAAATTTTATTTGGGCAATTAGTCTGAGATTTTAAATGTTATTGCCATATGGTATTACGGTTTTAGTCACTAGCCTTATTATTTTTTGTTAAAATAACAGATTATTATTTTAAGGTATGCATCAAGTACTACAACTTGTACAACTGATGTCACTGATGTTTATGTATGATTTCTCATCTCAATACGTACCGCGTAACACCGTAGGATATATGAAATATGAGATTGTATAAAATGTGATTGTTGATACTTATAATATATTTGTTAACTATGTGAAGACAGTGTTTCAATAGCCCTACACCTCCAGAGCTCGGGACGGCAGAAAGTAACCGTCTAACAGTATCCGTTGTTTTTACTTCCTAATTGGTATAATGCACTATTTGGGTGGATATATAAATCTTTTCATAATGGTTAGATATTTATAACAGATATAATATAGGTGTATAAATATCTAAATATCTATATTTCATAACATAGATATTTAGATATTTATATAACCTATATTAATATTTTAAATAACGCTCGTTTGCCCCATTTCAATAAAAAAAATAAAAACAAAACAAGAAAGAAAGAAAGTTGTAAACTATGAAATACAGATGGCGCTTTTCTTCGTGTTACCCAATTTTAGGCCGAAGATTGGTCTCTATTTCAGTATGTTACAAAGTACTCTGTGGTCGACAGATCAGCTGTTTCGACATAATATTTGCGTTCCATTTAGCATAAAGTCGTACATCTTTATGTCCACTGAATGGTAAACAATAAAAACATATTGGTTGTTGTACGCTTACTTTCTGGCGAAGCCATTTTGTCTACAAGAGAACATAATACGTCATACATCACACATGACACCAATTTATTGATCATTTCTTGCGAGATGTCCTTATAAGAATAGAATAGGATAAACACGAGTGCTTCTGCATTACTTTTACTTACAAAGCAAAACGTAGTTCTATTTGACTTCAGTCTTCTGTGAAGTTTTATTTAAAAAAGGCCAACTTGGAGTCATGTTGGTATAGGAAGCCTACAATAAAAAACTACAATTAGTAATATTACTAATTCGAAAGTCACTGCCAAAATTTCTATCTGATCATTTTAAGCATAGCTGTAAACTATAAACATTAACTTGTAATTATTCAAACTCTAGAAATGAAACAGAATGGTATTGTTGCCAAACTATCCTAAATTGCATGCAATTGAGATTTCAAAATTTACGGCTGTAATAATCATAAACAATGCCGTAGCTTTCTCATATTTATTAGTATAATTATGATCTTAGTAAGATAAAACATAGGAGTCCATCTTATACAGGATGATATACTCTATACCTTGAAAATATTTGACGGTGTTATTTTATTTGATTTCTCTTTTCCCGAACTTTCTTATTGTATTTTTTTTTAATCTTCGATATCTACTTTAATATAATTTAGACGTTAAAAAATTAATAACGTTATAATTTTATTTAATTAACGCTAAAAAGAGTTGCCGCCCAAAGCTCCCCTAGTTTTCAGTAAGCTCCGCCCCTCTAAGCGAGTGAGCGCGGGAAAATATCGCAACTTTTTGATGCGAATATCCACCTTCGAGCTAAGCGAAAGCACAAACTTCGAACAGTCACGGGCTGATCGTCGTGCGAGACGAATGTGCAGTGGATATCCGCTCGCGGATGAAATGTTTACGCGATCCTCGAAGTTACTTGTGACATGAAAAACTTTGACAACTGTCCAACATATTCTTTGTGTTTATTTCTGTGAATTGACTCTTTTTTATTCGAGATGGATAATAAAACACCGACGAACTCGTCTCCGCCGCGTGCGCAAGTCAAAAAAGAAAACGAAGAAGAGATCAAGGTAAGATTTAATTGTAGACAGTCTCAAGGATGGAGTACAACTTCCGTAGGAAGTTCATCATCGAGTTACGGCTTCGTATATTTGGCAGGCGAACTTTTCCGTCTCGTAATTCTACACTGGATGGTATATTTTTAAATTCGATACGTTCACCGCGGGTCTCGATTTGTTCGCGGGGTTGAGCCGAATTAATTATTCAAGATTCGGTTACAATATTAATTACGTTTCGCGATATACAATAAAACTCGTGTTATATCACGTTTTCGAGGCCTTTTCCAGCCATTAAAGTGTGTAATGCGATATCCGAAGCGCGCTCGGATCGCTGTAACCGGAGTCGGTGGATGTTTTGATAATAGATATAGGCGGCTTGGTAGTGTGCGAGCGTAGCTACGGGCGCGCGCCGGTGTGCGTGCGGGGTAATTTTAGACGTTCCTTTGCTCAAAACGTAACCCGAGACCGTCCCAGGCCGCAAGCCGACGCCTCGATTTATTGTTTTCATCTGATTATCGCGTAGTACGTGTGGTGATAACGCGTGCGGTAATAGCGCGCAGGACGCCCCCGCGGATTCGCGCGCTTTTTTTCTATTTTGGCGCCGCGGAAATAGTTTGACATGTCAATGAACTCGTCGTTGACCACGCTCGTGACGTCACAGGACGCGATCACTCGCGACTCAGAAGAAACTTTGAGGTCGATACAATTTATAACACCTATTACAAGCTTAGACGTTCTAAATTTTTAAACACGTAATGGGTTTTTATTTTCGATATGTTCGTTCTGGTTGCAAAGACGGCCGCGGTTGCCTCATCGGTTTACTTTTAGCATCACATCTCAAAATTACTATGAGTTAACCTTAAATGTTACTATGTGTATATGTTATTAAATGTTATACTAAAAAAAGATGGACTTTCCCTAAAACTTGAAAGATTTTGTCACAGAAATCATTTTCATCGAGCTTTCCACGAATAAATTAAAGATTGTTTTATCTTTTTGCAATCTGTGGCGCACTCGCAGTCTCAGTAAATAATATGTAGCGATAAAGGGTTGTGACGATGCTTATTGTAGCTATTAACAATATTGTCTCTAATCAATAAGGAAATGAGATCACAAGAACAGAGGCAAAACTCATACTTCTGAAACTTCTAGGTAGGTTTGTTCCTGATTTGTTCCAACTATGACGGAAGATTCCAAACATATTTGTTTTTGAAAAGCCATTAGAGTCGGAATTTAAAATAGAAATTTAAACGAAAAATCTGTCAAAGTTAAGGAGCCAAGGCAACATCAATGTGGGTATTCTTAAAGCAATTAATGTTGTCATTTTCGTTACAATAATTTTATTAGTAATGATATAACCGTGGGTTTCCACCGACTAAAGACATAACATATTGTCTTCCAGCTTATTCTCTCTGAAACATGATAATTTTTTCTGTTATGGTAATAGAACTATGAAAATCGACGGTTACATACTCGTACAGTTACATGGTTTATGAATATTTTCGTTCTAAATGCAAATTAAAGCATGCAATGTTGCCTGTGTGCAGCCGATCACGTGTCATGTCATGATGCACTGTATTGACATGTTTTGAGGAAAGTCACTGACATGCGAACGATATCTAAGGTGACTATAGTTTTAGTTAAATTAGGGAATTAGTCCTACAGTAATATAAAAATTTAAAAACAAAGTATTTTTAATTTTTAATCAGTTAGTTTTTGGCATAAAAAATGGTTGCTTTGTTTTGGTTTGAATATTTTTCATGGTGATACAATAAATAGGATGAATCTTTGGAAGTCCTTCTTTTGGTTTACTATATGTATATGTACATTCCTTTTAAACTGTTTTATCCTTATAGCAGTCATATCATAAATGGTTCCCCTACTAGCGTGTACGATCAGGAAACGTACCGGATATTGAGAATTCAGATTGTTGTATTTGAAACACGATTGCGAACAGATTTGTCTGTCGCTTACTGCTATGTTTCCCTAAAGTATAGTACTAGTCTTCTGATCATAATAAACTAGCTTTTGCAAGCGACTATGTCCGCGTGAAATAAAAAAAAAAACGATGTAACTTTCCTGTCCAGACTATCCTCTATATCTATGCCAATTTTCATCGAAATCCGTTTCAGCCGTTTAGGCTATAAACTCTAACAAACATTCATCCATGCATCTAAACTTTCACATTTATAATATTAGTATGATGAAGTATGATTGCATTAAAATAGAATTTATTATACTGCGATTTACACCTTTCAAAATTTAAGTTTTCTTCAATATAATGATAAACGGTTATGTTCACCCTTTCCCACAAAAAAGATGTTTACGCATAAATGCGTAGCAATCATGCATCTTTCACCTGGTAACTAAGTGACCCAGATCAACGCATGCAAAAATCAGTAAGATCAGCAATGACTCAAGTTATTGCCAAATATCTGCATTACAACAGCTAAATCTCGCGTCCAATTGAACCTAATTAAACTGCAACTTCATTAATTCGTATCTGCGATCACATCTTACAAGAAAAGTGTGATTCATTTGATATTCTCGAAAAGCATAAATGAGATTATTCAACCGTTAAATGCATGATAATACATTTATACGTCAGTCTTTTCCTCACACAACAGACTATTTAAAATAATCGTTTTTTTTTCTTTATTTTTCCCTTAATCTATGTTCAATTTACTACCAGTTTCAATTTATGGTTTTTAAAACGAATAAATCATGCTTTTAACGGTTAAGTAAAAGAAATGTATTGACTTTAAGGTCTTTGTTTGGATTGAAATAAAACTATATATAAATAATAGCTCACTTGTGTGTATTAATAATTTTTAAAATTTTTGGTAAGTAAGTTTAAAAAACATGTTATAATAGCGACAACGGTTAAGTAAAGTGACGTTCCGCTGTAGTGTCAATGCAGAAAAATGTCATTGCGCCGGCCAATAGGATGTCCATTAATATTCGTGAAGTTAGAATGCGAATGATGCGTAGACAGTCTTCTACGTTGAATGATTATTTATTTGGCATTTATAAAATTCAAGTGAAAATGAGTCCCTGAAGTGAATTATAATCGTAGCAAATGGCTTGAAATTAAGTAACTATAATCCACACTTATCATCTCCCCTGCCTTATCCTACTCCCGTAGGGTCGGCGCGCCGGTTTTTGTCCTCCAAATAACTCTATCATCCGTCATCTCAGTCAACACTTCCTTCTTGATCATGTCACCTTTCACGCAATCCAACCATCTCTTTCTAGGTTTATCTCACCGGTGTACCTCCACACTTATAAAGTTCTATTTGTAACATGTGATTCATCCCTTATAACATGACTATACCATGCTAACCTTTTACTCCTGCATTCTCTACTATTGGGACTACGTTTGGACTTTAAATCCACACTAATCTCTCCCTAAAAAAACAACTAAGCCATCGGGGCATTATGCAATTAAAGGTAGTGTCGGGGGCGGGATAATATAATAATTACAAGCATACAACTTGAGCTAACATGGAAAGTGAGCGCGCGATGGGAAGACACCCGATAGCCCGCCGTAACCCACACCGGCCATGTGATACCTGCATTGTACATCTTCGCGCAAACACCACGCGCCTCGGAGATGAGACAATCTTACTTTTGTACCTACATCCTTGCACTGTTAGGGATTAGCAGTCTTTTTAATGCTGTGTAAATAGACATGCTCGTTTTCAAAAATGCAATATTCGCGCTGTAAATTAGTTGTTTTATTATAATTGCTGCGTATATCCGGGTGTTTTATATTGTCATAATATTTTTTGTGGGTATAAAGAATTAGAAAAGCGATTCTAAGAAGACTTACATGGAAGTTTATGTATACACTTTAGATTGTATTGGAAGGAGAAAAGAATTTAAGGGGTACAATTTTGAAAAAGCTGTTTTGCGATAAAGGGACAAAAACTATAAGCTAATAGCAACAAAGAAGCAAGATTGCTGTAGTAACGGTAACTTTTAGCCAATGCAAAAGCCTTTCTTGTCTTAATGTTTAAATAAGCATTTGAATTTTGACATGTAAACGACAAAACAAAGTTTTTATAATTTCATGCTGATAAAGCCGTACTGGATCAGTTGGTATTATTATGAATTTGCGACTTTTGACTAATCCATCTATGACGTAGATATAATGCACATCTGTATATAGCATAATCTTTGCCACAGGGGGTGAACAAACACCACCTCGTAGGCGTGGAGGCGTACGCAAGCATATCGCGTGTCCGCTGTCCACCTTGACAAATTATGCTTCCAATATCACTCTTTTACCTAAATGTTAAGGTTTATAATTGAATAAATAACTTGAGCTGAGATACTTCAGTGATTAATCTAGATCTGGCTTAGGTTTCCGATTTTGTTTTGAGTTTTCGAAAAGATATTGCTCTCTATTTTGTGTTTAAATACTCTTTGACAAGAAATTGCGTCGGGCGGAAAAGATTTTATTTTCGTTTACAGACAACATTTTCATTATTTTATATTGAATTTTCTGCAGGGTTCAATACAGTTTTTAAATTAAACCCAAAATTAACGTAAAACAAACATTTGACAGTTGTTTTTTTTTAAAGCCAAAGGTTGCGTATGGCGCCAATTTTTTCGCGAGACATCCAATACATTATCTATATTTTTATATTGTTTAATAGTTTTACATTCCACTAATTAGAATATTTATGAAATTCAAAATGTCGGCTATAAAAATAACTTTATTATTACAATTGACACCGGGCACGGCCGTCGGCGTTGTACAAGAGGTGTCATATTTCGGTGTCATCGGATGCGGCACCGCTGCACATAAATACCAGAAGGAATGTTACTTTATGTATAAAAAGAATTAAAGAAAACGAAACAAGATATGTTTGTTTTTTAAATTTTATTATATTAAGAAATAAACAACGCAGTAACGTTTATTGGTAATTTATTAGTATTTTTTGCTATCCCAAAACCCTTTATTTAAAAAAAATGTATATCTAGAAAGCTTTAATTTATATTCTATA